AACTACTACACCCAGATAATTGAAAATTTTTTTTCTGCCGAGGCTGGTCTTGAACTCCTGACCTCAAGCAATCCTCCCACCTTGGCCTCCCAAAGTGCTGGAATAACATATGTGAGCCACGACACCCAGCCTTGACTGATATTATGATGCTCATTTGATAGATGGTGAAACAAAGGCTCGGAGACGGATAATGACTTAATCAAAGTCACACAGCAAGTCTCTGGCAATGCTGAGCCTCACCCCTAGTTCCTGCTCCCAATCCAAGCTTTCTCTCTTGCACCACATGATAGGGCTAGGGTTTACAAACTATGGACTGCAAATCTAGCCTCATCTAGCCTGCTGCCTCTTTTTGTAAATAAAGTTTTATTGGAATACAGTCACATTCATTCATTTACTCATTGTCTATGGCTGTTTTCACATTACAATAGAAGAGCTGAGTAGTTGCAACAGAGACCACATGGTTCAAAAGCCTAAAGAACTTTTTGACCCTTTTTAACTAACTGATCCTTTAGAGAAAAAGTTTGCCATCCTTAGACCAGAGGATGAGTTCACACCACGAATATCTCCACTTGTTTCTCTTTCTCACCCAGAAATCTCTCTTAACCCAGGGTATACCAAGCTATCATTTCAACTCCCTCTACTGTTCCAAATGCCAGAGAGAAGTAGTGCTCCTGCACAACTTAAAGGAGGAGAGGTGGGAAGCCCAATGGGCCAGGCTTTTTATTGGTTTCCAGCCTCCTTTGTGGCTGTGGAGATGTATCCTCCCCATGCAGGATGATGCTCCACTTCCTGCAACAGGTGTTGGAAAAGGCAATGAGGAGACAGGGTACCCTATTCCATCCCTATTCCAACCCTAGTCTGCAGGACTGCATTTTGGGCAGGGGGTCTCAGGGCTGGTGATTAAAGCATTGTAAGGAAGACAAAATTTATGTATGGGAGGAAAAGGAAGGTATTGTGGGATCTTGGGCCTCTCGAAGCCTCCAGTCTGACCCAGGGGAAGAATCTCTGTATGTCTTCTCAGAGATATTGATTAAATTGCCCAGGATCACACAGCTAGAATGAGATACATCCACAACTGAACCCAGATTTTCCTGACTTCTACTTTGTTTTTTTCTAGGTTGTTCTTTTGAATTGGTGGATTTGAAACCAGAGAAAGGTTTTCTAACAGATTCCTAAGCACCTCCCCATCCTGCGTCCACAGCTCCGCGGTCAGTGCAGCGAGAATAGGAAACCCACGCAGAGCTGGCTTGTGCAGTGGCCGTGTTGTCTTCCGCTGCATCTTAGCAGGCTGTTTCCCTTTTCCTGAGGCCTTTTCATTATGCTATCACTCCCTCAATTCTACTTGCACATGAAAGCATTCAGAACATTTTATCTATTTATGGTTATGAAATCAACAAAGCTCATGTAAAGAGGGTGCAGGCTGGCACCCACGCATTGAGACGGCCAGAGCTGGGTGAATGAGCGGAGAGCCAGGAAGGTGAGGGATATAGAACCATGGAGGGGGTGGGAGGGGGAGAGTGGAGCCCAGGTGGGAATAGATGAAACTTTTGTGGGCAATGTCCTGAGGCAGGGCTGAGAGAAGAGGACGCAAGGAATGCAGTGAGGAGCAAGTCAGAGCAGCCACATTTCAAGAGGGGAAAGAAACCTAATCAACTTAAGCCACTTTTCAAATGCAGAGCAGTGGCCACTTTGTGCCCTGGGGAGACTGGAGGAGGCGGACTTTCCTCACATTCATTTTCATAGTCGTCTCCACCACCACTCCCAGCTGGCGAATTCTGGCCCTGCTGGTCCTCTAGTGAAGTCCGGGGACCCCCTCAGTGCCCCCAGCCCCCGTGCTTCCTCGTCACCACACTCTGCACTCTGCGCTGTCCCTGCATGTTTACTTGGCTGTCTCCCCTACCAGCATCTACATCGGGTCTTCATGTTCCCAGCATCCAGTACAAGGCCTGACATAGGGCAGGGGCTCAGGCGAGTAAGTCATTCATGCAACAAACAGCTGAGGGTGGAATTTGTGCCAGCCTCTGCAGTGACGTGATGGTGCCCACATACAGCTGGTCTCGGCCTCATGGAACCTGCAGGCTGGTGAGAGAGGAAGGGGTCCATCCAGCAACTTCAGTGGGATACTGCTGTCAAGGAGGCATACTGGGAGTTTGGGGAGAGCAAAAGGAGGGGTGACCCTGCCTGAGGAGTCGGCACTGGCCTCCCCAAGTAGGTGCATTTGAGTTGAGCTGCTGGTAGCAAGTCAGTGCTGACTGGGCCAGGCTGTGCTGGGTGGGTGGCTGGGTGGACAGAGGAGTGTGGCCTCATAAATGAGACTTGACACGGTGCCAGGTAGCCACAAAAGAAACCACTGTAGCTGAGGTTGTGTTAACAGGGACAGGCAGCAAAAGTGAAGAGAGGGCAGCCTCTGCTAGGGCTGCTCTAGGAGGTTTGGCTCTAGAACTTATGCTCTGGGTCCAAGCCTAGCCTTGAGCATAGCAGCCAATGAGGAAGGGCCAACTGCACCCGAGGCTGTGAGGCAGGGCCCAGGGCATCCCCCAGGCCTGACTCTGGTAAGCCCTCCAGCTTGTCTGGCCTCATGCACCCCCTTGCCTCTCTTCCAGCTACATAAGCCTTCTTCCAGTCCCTGGCCTGCCACTCTCCTGGCCGCCACAGTGCCTTTGCACATGCTGTTCCCTCCCCTGGGGTGCCGCTGCCTCTCTCCTCTGCCGAGTTCTTCCTATTTTCCCCTGTTAGTTCAGTCCAAATATCATCTCCTCTGGAAAGCCTTCCCTGACCTTCCCGATGAGGCCAAATCCTCAGCTACAGGTTCGCAGGCACCCCAGGCCTCTGTTGGCACTTGGCGAAATGGCGATTTAATACTTTATTTTGGTGAGGAATTTATTGCCTCTTCTCCACTAGACTGTGGTCACCATGGCGGGGACCGTGACCGCTTTGCCCACTGTTAATTCCAGTGTGGAGTAAAGTGCTTCATAAACATTTGTAAGAAATGTTTAAAAGATGGAAGGAATGGAGAGATGTTCCTCAGAGAAGAGGAAGCTTGAGGGGTGGTGTGGCATTTGCAGACGTTTGAAGGACCATCAAGCGGCGGTGGGAGAGACATGGTCCGCGTGGAAAGGCCAGCGGGCAGGGATGTACCTGGGGCAGGAGGGGGTGGCAGGGGGAGGAGAATCTGGGCTGAGTCCTGCCTCCTCCACAGATTGTTTCTGTGATATTGGTCAGTTAAGTGACTTAACATTTTGTGCCTCAGTTTACCGATTTGTTAAATACAGAAGTGGGGAGAATGATGGCACCTCTATCAAGGGACTTATGTGAGCATTAAAGGAGTTAAGTAGTTAAAACACTCAGAAAATGCCTGATGCATAAAAGGAGCACAAGAAATGCTCAACGGCAGAATGTTGGTCGTTATCTTAACTTTATGAAAAATATAATTTTGAACAAGGCTATGCAGAGACTGCACGGGCTGGTTCAGGAGGCAGCACATGTACTGGCATTGCAAGTGTAAAAATAGCCTGGGTACCCGCTAGCAGCTTTGGTCCAGGCCAGGTGTGAGAGCACAAGATGGAGTAAGCCAGGCTGGGGCTGTAGCCTGGAGAAGTCAAGGGATATACTCAAAGTGCCCCTCAGGGCTCTGGCTCAGGCCCCAGCAAGCTTCTTTCCTGGGCAGCAGCTCCCCATTCACTGCTCACCAAGCCAAGGATGGAGGGCCTGGGCTAGGCCCAACACACCCCTCTGGTGCTCAGTAGCCCAGCTCCCCTTGCCATTCTTCTGGAAGCCGACCTGACCATGTTCTTCCCAGCTTAAGACCCTTGTGGCTCCCATTACCTCTGATTACTAAAAACTCCTCCAGGCTGGCACCTCCTTTCTTCCCCTTTCACCCACAGGTGCCTCGGCCTCCAGAGGCTCCAGCTCCAAGTCTCTCCTTGTTACTAACAGGGCACAGCTCGTAACATGGGAGTTTACAGATGTGGCACCTACTCATACCTTGTGTACCTGATGAGTGTATTAATTCATGAAAACCTCACAGCAGCCCTATGACATGCCTGCCATCATTACTCCCACAGGCCCTGGGCCAGCAGAGAGGGAGTCTACAGGGAACAGTCCAGGGGGTCCCAGGAAAGACTGATGGGGTTTAAGGCTCCAGTGGTCAGAGAGGGTCAGGGACTGGGCCTAGGGGCAACAAAGAAGAGACCCCCACGAGCTGGGAGAATGGTGCTCTCCATGCCTGGGAATGCGGGAACCACAGGGAGTTGGGTGAACCATGGTGAGCAGGGGAGAGTGACCTTTACAGCTGAGGATGGAGCAGCTTCTGAAGCCAAGAAGGGCTGAGCACTGGTGGGAGGGGAGGAGCACTAGGAAGCTTTGGTGGAAAGGACCATCAGGTTGAAGGGAAAACCCCTGAATTGCCAGCCCTGACAGGCTGTTAGTTCGGAGAGTCTTCTGCAAAAGGAGTCCAAGGTCCAGGAAGCAGAAGAGGTGAGCTCAGTCTAGATGTCAGTGGATTGTGTTTGGTGCAGGGGAATAGTTCTGAACAGGAGCAGCGGAAGATGCAGATTCTGTTCCCAGCTCTGCCACTAGCCTGCTGGGGGTATTCTGCAAACCTCTCCCCCTCACTGGGCCTCAGTTTTTGTATTTGCAAAATAGCAGTGGGTCAGACCCCTTAGCCTCAAAGGGCCCTCCCAACCTCTGGTACTTGAGCATCTCTGAGCCTGCTGGGCCACCTGTCCCAGTGCCTCTTGGGCTTTGGAAGTTGAATGCTGCAACCCCAAGCCCCAGTTTCAGGTGGGGATGAGCCCATTGCCCAATGCTAGGGTCCGAGTGGGCCTGAAGGCTCCCAGAGGACCACGTCCTCAGCCCTGGATGGTCAGGGACCCTGGAGACCTGGCCTGTGTGGACACAGGGGAATAAGTACTGGGACTGAGCCTGTAGTTTTGCTTCTTCCACCCAACCCATTGGGGGTCATTCTCACAGCTTGGTGCTAGGTACACCAGGGAACTCACCATTGGAGGGATCCGATGGGTTCCAAGGTGCACAAAACAGACTCCCAGATCATCCTCAAGTGGTCTACACAGCCTGTGGCTAAAGCTACTGCTGTCTCCAGCACTTCTTAGCTTCAGTCTGGTGAGAGGAGGAAAGTTCCCTCGGCAGTGTCTTACAGGTGGCCACAGAGGGCCCCCACAGCCTGGCCAAAATGCTCAATTTCAGAAAGTCCCAGACTCATAATTGGAGTGAGGGCCCTTGAAAGATGGTCTTGGATGACTGAGGCCTAATGCAGAGAGTGGAGTGACCCAAGTGACTCACGGCCAGCACTTGGTGGAGGTGAACCCAGACTAGGTCCTTGGTTTGTGGTGCAGTGGCCATGCGGGCCTCCCACAGGCTGGCCTCTGGGGTCCAGGTGCTGAGAAGCCTGGGCCAGGAGGCGGAGCTCTAGGTCCTAGTCTTAGCGGCACCCTGACTTGCTGTGTGACCTTGGCAAATTGTGTCTGTCTGAGAGCCGCCTGAGTCTCCCCCTCTGCACTGAGGGCTTGGCGCTGGGGGTGGACGCTCCACTGTAGCACCACTCAGGGTTCCAGGGCTAGCTGTACCAGAGCAGAAACTTCTCTCCTCGCCACCCTTGGAGCCCTCAAGTGCTGCTTGTGTGTTCTTCTCCACCTCTGGGTCCCCCATCCCAGTCCAGAGAGGGGCCCAGAGATGTCTGGAATCTGCAGCTTCTTGAGAATATGTCAGGCACTTCCCAGCTGTCGTCCCAGGTCCCCGTCAAACGCCTCCAGGAAGTGCTGCAGGGAGAGGGCAGAAGTCAACAGGACCAGGCAGAGGTTCCAAAGGGCTGGGTCCACTTGACTCTGGGGAGCCCTGCCAGACCCCTGCAGGCCACACCTACATCCAGAAGCAAACTGGTCCTTGTAGGCAGTCTGGGGAAAGGTTTGGTTCCAGAAAGTTCCAGAGCTGGTGGCTGCAGGAATCCTTCAATGCAGGCGATGTTTGCAAGCAGCAGCAACCTGGTTGGTCTGTCGTGGAGTGGTGTCCAGAAGCTTCTCTAAAAACCCCGCCCAGGTCCAGACTGTGCTGGGGAAGGAGAGGCAGTTGGTGTCATGACAAAGCTGTCCAGCCCCTCTGCTTGGTGCAGGGCAGAGGCTGGGGACTGGCACACGGGGCTGGCTAAGCTCAACCATAAGGAATGGCCTGACCTCTGGCCAGGAGGTCAGCAGCGGTGGGCTCTAGCCCATGCTCTCCCTTCAGGAACTAGTCAATCACTACTTTTCTCTGGGCCTCTGTTTACCTTCCAGTTTAAGGAGGAGGTTGGAGCAACTGGTAAGGGGCTTTCCCGGGATCCTAACTCTGCTCCAGGCTGAGCACAGGGAGAAAAAGGTTAAGGGGCCGGGGGGCCTGGAGGGAGGCAAAGGTCTCCAGGGTCCCATGGTGGCCCCAAGGGTAGTGAAGTCCTCACCTGGTGTTTTCACCCTGTGGCCTTGTCCAGAGAGGATCCCCGAAGGCGCTAGGCCTGGCATCTCGTTTCTTTCCAAGGTTTGGACAGAGGTCTCCCCTGTTGGAGGAGGGGGGCGGGGGCGAGGGGCAAGGGCAGGACCTCCCTTTTCCCTGGTTGAAATGTCCCCATAGAGGGTGGGGGGCGCTAAGATGGGGGTGGTGGGGGCGTGCGGCGCCGGGGACTCCCCGGGCCCCGGCCCCGCGAAGGGCTCGCGGCTCGGGGGCGGGGGCAGCTCCCAGGCTCTGGTGGAGCCGCCACTCCGCCAGTTGCCTTAAAAAGGCGCCAGCGCGCGCGCATCAGCAGAAGGGCTGCGGCTCTCTTCCAAATTAGGCAAGAATTGGGAGGCCGCGGGAGACGAGCTGCGAGAAGAACGCGGACGTCACCCGGGGCCTCCCTCTCCCTCCCGCTCCTCGCGCCTGCATCACGTCCCCATGGCAACGGCGTGCCGCGGCGGCGATGAATGAGCCACTGCGAGGACAGGCGCGCGCCAAGATGCGCGCCCCCTCCGCCAGGCGTCACGGCCCCGCGGCTGCTCAGGGGAAGGGGGCGCAGCCCGGCGCCCAGAGGAGGGGATGCCCCACTCAGATTCACAAAAGCCCAGGACCCATTCATTCCCAGCTGATCTTGTTGTGTCCCGGGAGCCCGGAGAATACTCGGTCCAAGGGTCCTCGACCCTCTGGTTCAGGGCTCCCTGGCTCCCAAGGCCCCCTTACCCGGTCTCCGCTCTCCCCGGGTCAGCCCTCTGCTCCCCAAAGCCTGCGGAAAACCGGATATTGTGTGGCTTAGCGCCACCGCGTGGCCGACTATGGGTCTGCGGCGGACGTGCTTGGCGGCTAGAGTCCCGCCGTCTATGTCGCCCTCTGGCGTCTGCAAGCGGGGAAGAGCATGAAGGGCTCAGCAATTTTCACACCAGAACCCTGATTAACGCGGGACTTATTCTTACCACACTTGTGATTAACTTGTGATCAATCACACTTGTGACTAACGTTTAGCGAACGCGCTCCATGTGTGAGGCACTGTGCTATGTGCTTTCCTGGTATTACTCCATTCTCACAGAAACTCTGTAATGCAATATATATATATATATATATATATTTTTTTTTTTTTTTGAGACGGAGTCTTGCTCTGTAGCCCGGGCTGGAGTGCAGTGGCCGGATCTCAGCTCACTGCAAGCTCCGCCTCCCGGGTTTAGGCCATTCTCCTGCCTCAGCCTCCGGAGTAGCTGGGACTACAGGCGCCCGCCACCTCGCCCGGCTAGTTTTTTGAGTAGCTGGGACTACAGGCGCCCGCCACCTCGCCCGGCTAGTTTTTTGTATTTTTAGTAGAGACGGGGTTTCACCGTGTTAGCCAGGATGGTCTCGATCTCCTGACCTCGTGATCCGCCCGTCTCGGCCTCCCAAAGTGCTGGGATTACAGGCTTGAGCCACCGCGCCCGGCCGCAAAATATTATTATCATTTTATTTTACTCATTTTTTTGAGACATGGGCCACACACTGTCATCCAGACTGGAGTGCAGTGGTGCGATCTCAGCTCACTCCAGACTCTGTCTCCCGGGTTCAAGCAATCCTCTCACTTCAGCCTCCTGAGTAGCTGGGATTACAGGCGCGCACCACCACACCCAGTTAATTTTTGTATTTTTAGTAGAGATGGGGTTTTGCCGTGTTGCTCAGGCTGGTCTAGAACTCCTAGACTGAAGCAATCTGCCTGCCTAAGCCTCCCAAAGTGCTGGGATTACAGACGTGAGCCACCGCTCCTGGCCTGTTGTCATTTTAAAGTGAGAAAAACTGGAGCTGAAAGAAGTTGCTGCTTTGCCAAACAGGCGGAACTGCCTCCTGCACTCATGACTGTGAAAAGTGCTCTTCTTGGACCCTTTCCCTTCCACACCCCTTGTCTCTTTTGATCAACCTCACAGTCTCTTGAGATAAGCAGGACAGTGAGCATTAAAATCATTCCCACGTACAGACAAGGAGACTGAGACTCAGAGAAGTGAAATGGTTTTTTGGAGGTTTCAGACAGCCACAGATGGAACTCAGGTCTCTGAGCCTCTGACCCAGGGGTTTTTAGTATGAGGTAGCAGGGCGAAAGTGAATCCAACACACCTCTGTGAGCCCCTGCTCTTTGGGTTGAACGAAGGAGCTCATCCTAAGCTACTCTACCATTAACGAACCCAGCAGCCCACAGTCAGGAGAAGGTCAGGGGGTCTCCACATTATCCAGTGTTTTGAGTGTTCACAAGAGCTAGATGCTCCAGTCTCTCTCCCTCTTCCCCAATTGTCAATATCTCTTATTTTATTTTATTTTATTTTGAGATGGAGTTTTGCTCTTGTTGCCCAGGCTAGAGTGCAATGACGTGATCTTGGCTCACTGCAACCTCCACCTCCTGGGTTAAACTCTCCTGCCTCAGCCTCCCAAGTAGCTGGGATTACACATGGATGCCACCATGCCCAGCTAATTTTTGTATTTTTGGTAGGGACAGGGTTTCACTATGTTGGCCAGGCTGGTCTCAAACTCCTGACCTCAGGTTATCCACCTGCCTGGGCCTCCCAAAGTTCTCGGATTACAGGCATGAGCCACTGTGCCCAGCAATATCTCTAATTTTATATATACTGTGTTTCATGTTTGAATGTTGTTGTCTTACGATGTAATCTTCCTGCTATGGTGGAACCCTTGTACGTATCTACTATTAAGTGAGAAAAGTGCCTCCTCTTTGCTTGCTGTTCTTAACGGGCTTGCCTTGTTTTCCAGTGAATCTTCTCGAGTCTATTGCTTTCTTGATTTTCTTGCAGAAATACTGATCCTATGTAAGTCTTTGGAGGCTGTTGGTAGCTTGTTCTTACTGACTTGTATTTTCTTTCTTTCTTTTTTTTTTCCTCAGATGTTGTCTCACTTTGTCACCCAGGCTGGAGTGCAGTGGTGTGATCTCAGGTCACTACAACCTCCACCTCTTGAATTCAAGCGTTTCTCCTGTCTCAGCCTCCCAAATAGCTGGATTACAGGTGCCCACCACCACACCCAGCTAATTTTTGTATTTTTAGTAGAGAACTCTTGATCTCAAGATATCCCCCCACCTCGGCCTCCCAAAGTGCCGGGATTACAGGTGTGAGCCACCGCACCTGGCCTGTGCTGGTAACATTCTATGGCTTTCTCTGTGCACTGCTAGGTAAGAAAGGTTGGGAGGCACTGCTTCAGGACTACTTAGGGGCATCATCCAAACTGTTGATCTGGTGGATGTGAAAATGTATCTCGTTGTGGTTGCCCTTAATACTGATGAGGTTGAACGTCTTTTCAAGTTTATAGAACATTCTTATTTTTTCCCTCTGGAATATTCACATATTTTACTTAATTTTCTCTCCTTTTTTTACTTTTTCTTATTGATAAGTCATTGTGGATACTATTTATTGCCGTATCGATCAGAGTTCTATTGCAGAAACTACTCTTACCATTTTAAGCATTAAGGGATTCTATATAGGGTTTTAGTGTTTATAAAATAATTGGAAGAGCTGGAGAAATGGGCTATTAATTGGACTTTCAGAAATGACATAAAAAACAACCCTGCAGGCCGGGCGCGGTGGCTCAAGCCTGTAATCCCAGCACTTTGGGAGGCCGAGGCGGGTGGATCACGAGGTCAGGAGATCGAGACCATCCTGGCTAACATGGTGAAACCCCGTCTCTACTAAAAATACAAAAAACTAGCCGGGCGTGGTGGCGGGCGCCTGTAGTCCCAGCTACTCGGAGGCTGAGGCGGGAGAATGGCGTGAACCCGGGAGGCGGAGCTTGCAGTGAGCCGAGATCACGCCACTGCACTCCAGCCTGGGCGACACAGCGAGACTCCGTCTCAAAAAAAAAAAAAAAAAAAAAAAACAACCCTGCAGAATCAGTCCACCCCAGGGTACTGTAAACTCTGCTGCAATCTGAGGCACGTGAGTGCCTCTGGCTGGCGGGATCTAAGTCACACCCAGATCCCTTGTTGTAAGCAAGTCTGGGAAACAGAGTGTTTCTCTTTGTAGACTCTGAAGAACAGGAAAGCACACACCCACTTCTGGGTATTATTCAGCCTTCTTTGGTTCAATCTCAATTCCATCTTGATATCCTGTAACTTGTGGACTTAAAATATGAACCACCATCTATACTCTCTATCAGTTTTCTACCTTGAGAACACTGATATTTTGGGCCAAATAATCGCAGTTGTGGGGGACTTTTCTGTGCATTGTAGGATGTTTAGCAGCCTCCCTTACTCTACTTGCTAGATGCCAGTAGCACTCCCCTTTCCCAAGTCATGGCAATTGAAATTGTCTCCAGACATTGGCAAAGGTCCCTGTATTAGTCCGTTTTCACACTGCTATAAGGAACTTCCTGAGACTGGGCACTTTATAAAAGGAAAGAGGTTTAATTGAATCACAGTTCTGCATGTCTGAGGAGGCCTCAGGAAACTTACAATCATGGTGGAAGATGAAGCAGGCACCTTCTTCACAAGACGGCAGGAGGGAGAAGTGAGAGCACAGGAGAAAACTGATACTTTTAAAATCATCAGATCTCATGAGAATTCCCTATCATGAGAAGAGCATGGGGGAAACCATCCCCATGATCCAATTGCCTCCCTCCCTGTAAACACGGGTATTACAATTCTAGATGAGATTTGGGTAGGGACACAGAGCCAAACCATATCAGTCCCCCATGGCTCAAAATCACCCCTGGCTGAGAAGGATCACCATATATAAAACAGAAGAGGAAAGGGAGAGGGGAAGGAAAGTGAAAATGGTCACATAATAGGACAAGGACAAAGCATTTGATGCCTGTTGGAATCTTCATTTCTGCAACAGGCCTAAGGCTGTAGTTGATATTTACAACTACCTTTCTTCTTGACCCCCTCCACCTTCTCTTTGCCTTCAGCCTGTACCATGGCTGATCAGGGTTCGTTCCCTGGTGGGGGAAATTTTCAACCCTATAGGATTTGA